TTAAAAAAAAAAAAAAAAAAAAGACCACTTTGATGGTTCATGATTCCTCCCCACTTCTATAAGTAACTTTTAGTTTTAGCTCTCTGTCTTCCTTACCCCAAATTAGGAACCCTTATATATATATATATATATATATAAACACTTTCTCCACTTTTGTTTGAAAATCAAAGCAACAAAAAGAAAGGGAAGCATGATGAAAAAGAAAGAAAGGAAGGAAGGGTTGTTGTGTTGTTAATCTTATATTATAAGTGGACAGAATCTTTCATTTTCTAACTACTTTCTTCTTTAAACATAATACTTTCTCAAAACAATCATACCATATAACCTACCTAAACTACTTTCCCTATCTATTTATAAAAAATTCAAATGGGTGTCGGGGTTAAACTAGTCAAATTAGTTATAATTGCTGAGATCTCACATCAGTTGGAGAGGGAAACACTACACGGATTGAAGAGAGGAACAGTGCTAGTAAGAACGCTGAGCCCCAAATGGGGTAGATTATAAGATCTCACGTCGATTGAAGAGGGGAATGAGTGTTAGCAAGTACGCTCGACCTTGAAGAGAGGTGGATTGTGAAATCTCACTTTAGTTGGAGAGGGGAATGAAGACTAGTGAGGACGAAGGAGGTGGATTGTGAGATCCCACATTGATTGGAGAGGGAAACGAGTGCCCACGAGGACGCTGGACCTCAAAGAGGGTAGATTGTTAGATCTCACATTGATCGAAGAGGGTAACCGTGCATGCGTGCACACAAAGACAAAGGCTCGTAGAGGTGATTCTTTTGTTTTTGTTTTTAAAATTTTTGTATGAACTTGACAGATGAGAAGGCTGTTGATTCTGACTCTTTGTGCGTTTCCCCAACTCATCAATCTTCTCAGTCATTTTTGTGCATGCCAAACATTTATGATGAATATTTAGACAACCACTTTTATCAAAGGAATGATGATTCACGTAGCCCCCCTCCCTAATATTCTAGGCACCTCCTTCCCCCAAATACCTTATTTTATTGCCTTCAAACCCAAAACCCATCACTGTTTTAATCATTTAACTATGTTCCACTAATCATAGGCCTTGCAGAAACCCACTGCTCAGTGCCCACATCAGTTTTTTTTCTAATGAACTCCAACTCTGCGCACCAGCTGTTCGACGAAATGCCTCAAAGAACTATTTTGCACTCAAGGCTGGTTTTTCAACCAAGTTTGTGGGCTATGGGATGTGGATGGTCCAAGATGTTGTACACAGCTTCATTCCAGCAACTACTTTTGGTGTATGCCAAATTGACAAGTGAGTTTTTTTGTTCTTTTTCTTTTTATAAATGAAAAAAAAAGGTTATGGAGTTCGGCTACAAAATTGGGTGATGGGTCAGAGCCGAGGGTGGAATGAGTAGAAGGAATCATAAACCGTACAAAAAAGTAGGCTGTTTGAACTTGGAAACCCATTAAATCTTTTGCTTTTGTTAGGCTGTTTGTAGGGCCAAATTATGAGAGGTTTCTGTTTCTGATTTGGAGTGGATGGGGGCTTGAAGGGCGTAGGCCCAGAGGAGAGCCGCAAGCAATCATTGCTTGTTTTGGATGCTGCGGCTGAGAGGCTGTGTTCTTTCTGTTCTGAGTTTGATGGACTTTCATGGTGGGAAGAAGAGAGAAAAGAAAAGAAAAAAGTTGGTTTTAGTTTAAATGCCACTGATCAAAAGGTGATTGCCGGCGCAGCAATTGCATAACTATGAATTTAAAGGGGGAAAAGTAGAAACCCCCATATTGTTTAAAGGGTTTAATGTTTGATGCTCAAATTATTGATCTAATGATGATATTTTTTAGAACGTCGGAATCATTGGTAATGCAACAAGTTCGGGGAACAGCAAGTTGAATCAAAAGTTTGAGAGTGTAGTTATAGCATCGTTCATTGCGTACGAAATTTGAAATTGTGTCGGAGTGTCGAATTGTATGCTAAAAGAACAAAGTGTGCACGGTGTCAATAGGGGGTCGGGTGGGTGGGCAATGGAATGGATAGATATTAATATGGGTGGTTGGGGTTTGACATGTGCTCCCTAGAGGAGAAAAACTATAAGATCCCACGTTGGTTAGGGAGTAAAACAAAGCAGTGTAAAGACATTGGACTCCGAAGGGTAAGTTGGGGGGAGTAGAATGAAGCATTGTAAGGACGTTGGACTCCGAAGGGTTAATTGGGGAGTAGAATGAAGTATTGTAAGAACGTTGGGCCCGAAAAGGAGGTGGATTGTGAGATCCCACTTCGATTGATGAGTAGAATGAAACATTCTTTATAATGATTTAGAAACCTCTCCTGAGCTGAGCCGGCCACGTTGAGGGGACATTGTGTTTTTACTGTAGTGTTATGTAGGTTAATGGTTGGTCCTTTTGGTATGGGCGGCCATGTCTGAAACATCAAAGCTGACAGTTTTTGTTTTCTACAAAAACCAAGCCCAAAGTGTCAGATGAGTTTTATTTCTTTTTCCTTTTCTTTTTTCTTTTATTCAGCGGCTGCCGGATTAGGCTGCGCCGCTGCCATCCGCCGCACAAAGTAGCCCACCGCCGCCCACTTCTCCAATCATTATTACCACAACGTCTGTCTCTCTCTCTAAAGGTGTTTTGTAAATAAATGCGTTCGTACATATTTGGATTTTATTTTAATTACATATACATTTCTAATTTATGTCAATAGATTTATAGATTATTAAATCAATTTGAAATGAAATCATATAATTAAGATAATAATTAATTCTTATTTATTCAATTGAATTATATTTAGATTTACCCATAAATGATTTTATTTAAATGAGAAAGAAAAAAGTTGTTTCAAAATTTTCAAAATTCAACTTTAAAAATTAATATTTCATCCTGTAAAATGAATGAGAAAAAGATTAGCAGAGTGCCTAATTGAATTGGTTGGATCATTTAGGAATAAGGTTTAATTCCTAAGCATACATCACTGCACTTACACTTGATACTTATAAGTATACATCACTGTGCAGTTCCACTTGACACTTGTAAGCATACATCACTGCACTTCCACTCGACACTTATCATGATAATAAACGGCTCATCTCGTCACTGCACTTCCACTTGACACTTATCGTGATGATAAATGGCTCATCTCGTCACTGCACTTCCACTTGGCACTTATCGTGATGATAAACGGCTCATCTCGTCATTGCACTTCCACTTGACACTTATCGTGATGATAAACAGCTCATCTTGTCACTGCACTTCCACTTGGCACTTATCGTGATGATAAACGGCTCATCTCGTCACTGCACTTCCACTTGACACTTATCGTGATGATAAACGGCTCATCTTGTCGTGATCTCTTGAATTCTCAAAATTTTTGTCACTCCATCTCCACAAGAGAAGAGAACCGCTCTTGCAATTGGGTCGTTGCGATTACAAGTTGAATATCTAATTGTCTAGACGATAATGATAATATCTTGTACCCTCTACTTTTCCTAAGAGCTCATATCGACGAGAAGGTTTTAGATATTTTAAAACTTTAGAATAAACTTGAAAATTATTTATAGGTTAAATTACCAATTGAATTCTTCAAATCCGCATCTATTTGGTAATCTAAGAAAGTTTGCATAAATGAAATCTTTAACCCAATTGTTCCCTTTATCACGTGTATAAAACAGAAGTGAAATGGAGAGCGAGTTCTTCCAATGCCCTCCATAAAATGGTATGAATCAGAAGCCTAGTTGAAATGGGAAGTTCATGAGATAAATTTACAACATGGTGCTGGATTACGACAACAAATCCGATGCTTCTATATCAACCCGAAAAATGGCGTTGCATAATTAGTGTTCGTCTACTCTAGCAGTAGCAGTTGCAGGATGCTCGGTTGGTTTCTCGGAGTTGGTTGTGGGGGAATTCTTCTTACCTGGACCTTTTGATACTTTTACTCTTGCTGGTCTCAGAAGTCGTTCTCCGAGCAGAAACCCGCGTCGTAATTCTTGAATGATGATCCCTTCCTTGATCTCTTGCGACTCCTCTCGAGCTACAGCCTCATGTAACTGCAACCAAAGAAATATTTTACCATATTTTACCATCATCGGTAAAAGATAGCAATCTCTTATTAATAGGAACCAGAAACCTCCACAATGGTCCGATGTTGTCCACCTTGAGAATAAACTCTCATGGCTTTACTTTTGGTTCCCCAAAAGGTCTCATACCAATGAAGATGCATTCCATACTTATAAACCCACGATCAACCCCTTAATTAGCGGACATGAGACTCCTCTCCCAACAATCATCAACACTTACTACTCATCAGACAAATTAGTTTCCAATCACTGATATACTCGACATGAATTACTTGCAAAGAACACCCACCCAAGTATAAAGAATGAGAAAATAAATACTTTTTATGTTCTAATCTTCCTAGTAAGAGAAGAAAAACTAGCAAGCATGAAGAACATGCATCAATCAAACAGACAATTTTGTAGATTGAAATGAAGGTATCAAATTTTAGACAGAAGATTTTGACTTACCGAGGGATCAAATGGCCTTCCTACTGCGGCAACAGCAGAGATGCGCCAGCTCCTCAGCACCTCCACAAATTGTTTGTATATACCCTGGTAGCTTACATCAATTTTCTTCTCCTTGTCAGTTTGAGGAACAATTTGTTGTCTGGCTTTCTCAAAACTGTCGATCATTGGTAATAGATTCTCAATAACCTCTTTTTGGGCATTGTTCTTCACGGTAAGTCTTTCTTTTTCTGATCTTTTCCTAAAATTATCAAAATCAGCTTGTAAACGTATATAGTTCTCTTTTCCAGATGTTATCTCGGCCGACGTATTCGACACTTTCTGAAATAACCCGTCCTTCTCCCTTTCGAAAATTTTTAGTTTCGCTTCAACTTTAGAAATAGTCTTTTGATCTCCATCGAGAAACGCTTCTCGGTATATGTTGATGAGGGCCTGTAAACTCAATCCATGAAGCTCATCTCCTGCTTTATTCCCATCTTCTCCATCATCCTCTTCTTTATTTACCTTTTTTCATGGGAGGGGCAACCAACAACAACATCAAATGAGCGAATTAAAAAAAAAGTAACTAACTTCATCATCCTGCAATGAATTGAACATCTAAAACAGATCTCTGAGTAAGTTGTAAAATAACAAATCATATAAGCAAAAGGGATTCAAGTGGATCAGTGTGCTAAATCCCTTTAACCATTGAGATGCTACTTATAACTTTTAAGCCTAACAAGAAAATGAAGAGTATGCATACCATAAAGAGAAGAACGCAATGAGAATCCTCCAAAAACTTCCACAGATGCTTTCTATTTCATTTCTCCATTACTTTCTTGAGTTGAGATAAAGATTTTCAAACAATTAGAGTAAGCTATGCACACTTGTTTCACTTACAAAGTACAAGAATGAAGAAAATGTTAAATCCTTACACTCTAAAGAAAGTGAAGAAATGGGTTATTAGTTCCTACATTTCAGGAATGTAGGCGTGAGATCCCACGTCGGTCGGTTGGGGAGAACGAAACATTCTTTATAACGGTGTGGGAACCTTTCCCTAGCAGACGCATTTTAAAATCTTGAGGGGAAGCAAGAAAGGGAAAGCCCAAAGAGGACAATATCGGCTAGCGGTGGACCTGAATCGTCACAAATGGTATCAGAGCTAGACAAGAGCAATGTGCCAGCGAGAAGGCTGAGCCTCGAAGGGGAGTGGACACAAGACAGTGTGCCAGCAAGGACGCTGGGCCTTGAAGGGGGGTGGATTGTGAGATCCCACATCGGTTGGAGAGGAGAACGAAGAATTCTTTATAAGGGTGTGGAAACCTCTTCCTAGCAAACGCGTTTTTAGAAAACTTTTGAGTGGAAGCAAGAAAAGGAAAGCCCCAAACAGGACAATATCAGCTAGCAATGGCTCGGGCCATTACAGATTGAGTTTTTTTTTTTTAGCCAAAATGGATGGCAATCAAACCTTCCATTTAAGGAATGCCAAGTTTTGACACGAAAATCGACTTAAACCACCAGCTTATCAAAACCACCAGTCTTTTCTATGTAGAAAATGAAAAACTCTTTCACCTCAAATTTCAGTAATCCAGTCAGTGTCACTAAGGGTTGGCCATAGCAGCAAAGATCACCATCCAGCACTGAGAAAATAGGAATTCGAAATTCCAAAAATGCATTTAAAGAATCCTTACAATAAACACGCAGAATAAGCGAACGTTTCCATCTCAAACAATCGCAACTCAAATCCAGCAAAACATCCACACGTAAAAGACTAAAATAACAATACGACAGAGAAATAAAAGTACGCAGAAATTCGAAAAATGAGAACAACAAGAACTGTAATCAATCAAAGCAACAAATAAAAGGAGAGTTCAACGTACATTGGGAACAGAATCTTGAGCAGAAAAACACGGTAAGAATGAACGTCTAACCGGAGAAGAATGGGAGGCGGGAGAGAAACTTAATAATGGGTAACAATGACGAGAGCGATGGCGAGGATTATGAAGAAAACAAAGAGACGGTGTAACAAGGGATGTGGATTCTATGGCTTTGGAGGAAGTAGAAGGGCGAGGAGAGAAGAGAGTGTAATTAGAGAGAGCCAAAGCCGCCATTGACAAAAATTACGAAGAGAAGATGAAGCTCAAACTCAGTGAAGGAATGCCTCCGGTTCTTAGCCTTCGTCTTCGTCTTCCTCTTCCTTCTCCGAGTTTCTGGACATTTCGTTTTAGTTGAGCCCTAGGCCCGAATTCCGACCCGACCCGACCCGAGTTATTGGACAACGCTAATCAAATTCTACACTTTTATTTACAATTTTTAAATCTAGTTTTTTTTTTTTTTTTTTTTTTTGTATTGTATTGTATTGGGAGAGTCGAGTCAAAACTCAGTTTTAATCTCAATTCAACATCACAAAACTTGAATTTAAAAATCAGGTGCGGAAGAGACGAGATAACTCAAAATCTTATCCGAATCCGATATCGATCTCAAATGACGCGGTCAAAAGA